TTAATCAGCTGCATCCTAAACACCATTGTTACACCAAAAGATGCTCAGGTCTTCTTCAGTAGCATGGTAAATTCACAGTGAAGATTAATGCACATTACATTTCTCCCACAAAACTGGACTCCTAATCCAGAGAATGGTTAGAATTTGACTGGGTACACATGATCTTTAAAGTAGGTTCTCCAGTTTCAATAATGTCAACGCCAACCACCTGTTACAATGGCACACACTCTTATTGTTCCAAAAGCATTAATACACATAAGTGCACTAATCACACAGACTCAAATTGTCTTCCCAATAGCATCATATCTAAAAAAGCGATCCCAGATATAAAACCTCATCCAAAACATTCAGCGTTCTTGGTAGTATGGAAGAGATAAAATGTAATCAAATCACTTTTAAAAGAAATATTAGGGCAATCAACCAGCTGCTAGCAACATGCATCCCATTATACACTGACTCAGGCGGATTTATCTAGTAAATAATGACATTTCTTTCAGAGCTAAAATACAATTTATATTTTTCTCCTTCCCTCCCATTCTCATGCTTGCTTACAGCAACCCTCTACGAGAAATAAATGAATTGCAGTTTAAGGGGGTTAATTTTAATCTCTCCTGACTAGACACCATCATGGTCACATTTCGAAATAACAAAGCTTGCTTCATATTAAAAAGCTGTGCATTTAAAACCATTAAGAGTCTTCCAAATGAACATAATAGTAGCATATCGATCAACTTTTTTTCTACCAAAAATTTCAAAGTAAGTAACAATAAAGATACAGAAGAATGAAACAAATCAATTTGATTAAATGCAGTTAAAACACAATTGAAATTGTATTAATAAAATTGTATTAAGAAAAAGAAAAACAAACCAAAAAATTAATAGCCAACAAAGTAACTTAAATTCCAAATGCCTGTTTCAAAAGAAGAACAGCAGGAAAGCCGGCCTAGCCAGACTTGTAGGGAATTCCAAGCTTCTTACATTCATACCAACCTTACCTCTTATAGCGCAAGATCAAGAGGGCTTCTTTTAACAGAACAACAGAGTTGGAAGAGACCTTGGAGATCTTCTAGTCCAGGGCTTTTCAACCAGTGGTACGGGTACCACCTGTGGTACATTGGCACCTGGCAGGTGGTACGCGACCATCTTAGAAAAGTGGTAGCGGGGGAGGGGAATGAGCTGAACCGGTGGCAGCACCACACAAGCCTGAGCGAGAGACGGCTGGAGCTGCAGGGCTGTCAGGGCTCAGCGGAAGCACCAGGATCAGCGCCAGGCTCCAGCTGGAGCTCGGCGCTGATCCTGGTGCTTCCGCTGAGCCCAGAAGAAGCACCAATCAGCTGGAATGTTGCAGCATCTCCAGGGTCTTGTGATTTACATTCAGATGCTTGGCAATTGATTCACATTTATGACGGTCACAGTGTCCCAGGGTCATGTGAAGTGACCAAAACCTGCTGCAACTACGCAGCAGACTGGGGGGGGGGGATAAAAACCAAACACCCTCACCCCACCCCCGCTGCCAATCCTCAACAGAAATGCTCACAACAATGAAAACCTCAGACAGGAGGAAGAGCGCCACCGGGCAGGCAGGCAGGTGTCTTGCTCGGCTGTGGCTTGGGGGGGCACTTTTTTCAGTGCCATTGTAACTTCGAACAGTCACTAAGCAAACTGTTGTAAGTCAAGGACTACCTGTACTTTATCACTTTTTTCCTTTTCTTGTTTTTGGTCATCAGGTTTTTGACACCTTGCTAGGCGACTGGTGGTACTCGGATATTGCCATATCCTAAAAGTGGTACAATGGGTGAAAAGGTTGAAAAGCCCTGGTGTACAAGAATCTTTAAACTAGTCTACCCTCCATGGAATACTAGATTTTTCCTGATATAGCAGGAACAATATTCTATATATATATATATTCTTGAAATATCTCATTATAGCCAAGAACTACTTTGTTGGATCAGGTTCACATCCACGTATCCTGTACTTTCCAAATTTGAATTTGATTGCTAAGCGACCGCTTGTTAAGCGAGGACTACTATATGTCCAAACAGGAGAATTTGGGTTTAATATTTATTTATTTATTTATTTATTTACATGGATTTATATGCCGCCCGTCTCCCTATAGGACTCAGGGCGGCTTACAGCATATTAAAACACATAAAACATCGTCCCCCCATAAAAACCTATTAAAAACCAAATATTTTTTTTCGCTGTATAATTAATTAAGATTTAAATTAAAATTGTCCCTATTTAAAAATTCTCCCTAGGCCAGACCCGCTTGTTGAAAAAGCCATGTCTTGAGGGCGCGGCGAA